AGGTTCACAAAAGTCCCCATCTTTTTACATTGGATATTTCTGTGAAATCGTTCAGCTAATTCAATAGTGTCCTGCATATTGATCTATGTATCTACCTTTCATTGAACTCCTTTGTATCTCTAGAATCCATCAATCAAAATGCAACACTACTAATGTAAAGATACCAAATTGAGATGAGCCATACCAGATAGTGTCAGGGTTGAGGTAATGCAGTGCCTCGAAAGAGATGAACCTCTCTAGAATTCCCTTTCGCGCATAACACATAGCTTCTTTGAATATACTCTCGATCATACAAAATGGCCAATTTAACAGATGCCGGTTTTTGTCAACTGCTAAAATATATATAAAACATCCCGCATAGAGCAAGATGAGATAAAAAAAACTAGGGCAAAGCTAGATGGAGCAATTCACTACATAGGCACACAACAAGAATATGTTTGTATTAATTCTGTAAAAAAATGTCCATCACAAATTGATAGTGGCAGATTTTGAATAATGTGGCCACCATCTGTGCACGAATTAGTCATTAACCATGGTTTAATTACTCGACCCATTACGAATAATGCCTGAAATAAGAACTTTTCTAACAGCAAACATGAAATCAAAATTGAGGAAAGCTAATGTAAAAAAGGCCATAGTAGAGAATATGACATTACCATTTACGTATATTCTCAGCTCAACTTTAGCTTCTGTCCTGGGATGATGATTGGCGTTAGCGAGCACTTTTCATCCACAACTAGCGAATACTGGGCCGCGCTCTGCAGCGGCCTCTGATGTGGCATTGTGGTGGTTTCGTCTTGGCTAGCCCGTGATGTTTTCGGGATCGATATGTATGCTATACAAAATTTCAATCAGAGCTAACACAGATGTTGTAGATCAAGATCATATGACTGGAATATCACCAGTAACACCCATTGATTGTAAATGAAGTGCTTGCATACATGACAATGGTAACTGTGATAGGGGTTACCAAAAGCCAAACAAAATATTTAAAATATCAGCATAATGATTGAAACGTATATCAGCAGTAGTTGCAGGCTTGTCGTAAGTAGTGGCTGTATCAAAGCACATCGTGTCTTCTTCTCCAAAGATTATCAACAATGGATGGTTTGTCATCTGAGATGTTTCTATCCTTGCAGATTGGGCACTTCCACCAAGCTTGACTGTAGCTTAAACAACAACATCAATATTAGAAACCAAGGCAACGATTCTAGTGGTTCACATCCCTAGTGGTAATTAATACCAAACACTTCCACTCTTCTACATATAAAGTTTTCAAATGATGAAGAGCTTAACAAATACTAATTCAATCCAGCTTAGTAAAATCATTTTCATGGACTGCAATTCCTCAACAACAACTTGACTCGTGAGGGGTTAAAGAAAGCCATGTATCATACACCGACTAAAAGGAAGTTCCAAACAGAACCATAATTGGCCCTTAATAAATATATATCTTATTCTCTATGAACCATGGAGAGGAGAAATTGAATAAAAAATGATGTATGAGCTTTCATCGCAGATTGCTCTGCTAACCTAATTTTCGATATACATAATGCCAAACCTCTTCTTCTGAACTAATCAAATGACCCTAAAAGACAGTTAGCTCCAATAAAGCTTGCAGACCTCCTAGTTAAGCTCCCCTTCACAAAAGTCCCCAATGATCTATAACACTTCTCCTTTGAGAACAAAACCTTCGTGGGTAATAACATTTCACAAAATGACACCAAAAACACTTCCCCTTTCAGAATATTCTATTGAATTGTCTGGACGATACTGAAACTCTTTATGTCACTATCTCACTGATCAACATTATTATTTTCAATTATGCAGTTGTAGAAATTACTAAGATCTGAACACATCAGTTCCTTAGAATGTTTAGGAAGGTTGCGTAGGAGATGGGTCATACGTAAGCCAAAAGGTGTCAACTTATGCCAATTGATTTGGACATTCGTTATGTCACAAATTTAGTGTCCTTCCTCATGTACTTACTCAACCTAATTACATAGTTTTTGAGGGGTCATCCATATTGACACATTGATCGATTTCTTGCCTTCTAATGTGACCAGTCATAGAGTTGGTTGGTGTGATTGTATGTCAATACATTTTGAGGGGTTGTCTGAGTTATAGGTGAAACTTGGTTGTGAATGTCTTTTTGGGAGAGATGCAATCAAAATATTTTTGTATTGTACCCCAAATAACTTTTTTGTTTTGTTGAGCATACAAGATTAATTACTGAAGCCCAACCCACCAATTAATCAATGGAGATGGGTCGTTGGACTAGATGTTTATTTTCTAATTTCTCTATGTCGTTGGGTAACGCATATAATGTGTGGATTCAATTTGAATATATTATCGCATTCGAATGGAGGAACCGACAGTTATAAATAACCACCAATTTCCCCACTAACCCCTCATTCCATAGATTTATCGTTTGGAAGTTGTGATTTCAAATGGTGTATTGATCAAATTCATGTATTTGTGAGATTAAGTCGTTTTTTTA